CACAAGGGCAGTTATTCCTTTTCCACTTTTCCTTTCTCAGGTCCCACGTTGGGAGCCAAAAATTTCCCAGTTTAAATGAGTAAAACAACGAAACAATACTCCTATATCTACAAATAATCGCCTTCAAAAACAAACTGATAAACAGGCAGAAGGAAAAGTAAACAGTTCAGATTTGCGTCCTTTGATGCAATTCCACCCACAGTCAATAGGGGGCAATATTGGGTCACTGGAGATTCAGAACTTGTAATGTCTTGTACCATCCACCAGGTGGCGATGTTGGATCACTGCAGATGCAGAACTTGTAATGTCTTGTATTTAGTCATCAGGGTATGCCAGAGAAACCAATCCAACCAAGAATAGACTGGGCCTTCCCTCTCTTCCCACACACCAGGAAAGGGGAGAGGGAGAGGGGGAAGGAAAAAACCCAGCAACAAACAGAAAATTCTCCCAATGAAAACAAAACGAAACTCACTCTCTTCAGCTGGTTGGAATTCACTTCAGGCAGGGTCTGCAGTTGGGAACAGCAACAAGCTTCTCGATGTGTGCTGCAGTCCCCAGCCCAGTCCACCAAAAAACTCCTCCTCTCCCGTTGCCCAGGAAACGGGAGGAAAAAAAGTGAAGTGCAGTTCCTTATCTGCCCTGTTTACAAGGAGACTAATTTTCAGCCATCAGAGAGGGATCTAGGTCTTTTTGTTCACCTAAGTACTTATCTGATAGCTCTTTATGGTTTCTAAGGTCAGGCGGGGAAGGGAAAGAAAAAATTCCTTGCTTAGCTGAACCATGACACCATCTTATCTCAAATTGAATTCCCTCACCCATCTATTAGTTCAAATAATGGTGAATTTAAACCTGGAATGATAACCTTTGAGGACTATAATGCCAGACAACCCTTTCTTATTTACTCATGGGACCCATTCTTTGACCCATTATACACACCAGATGTATATGAAAGTAAATATGCCACAGTTTTTAGTCCTTCCTGGTGTGTATAACTTCCTAATATAACCAATATAACCTCAATTAACTGGAAAAACTTAATGTAGGCATGGTCTGTACAACAATTTTTTGAATCCAAATTTACAGAAGCCAAATTTACCGTGCCTCAAGTAGAAGATAGTCCTTTATTCAATTGCTCAAAGGTTATAACATGCAAAGAAGGACCAGGAGATCCTCCAGAAACATGGTTTTCACTTAGAATTAGAACATTAATATGGGACATGTGTACTTGTTGGAGATACCCCTCTAAAGGTTGGAGAAATCAGGATGAATCCTGTAACTCAACCTACAAATACCTTCTTAATCACTGCAGAGTTCCCTATACCCACTACCCAATCCAAGGTACCCCAATAAATACTAAACCAAAGATCACCATCCTTGATCATGCAGACAATACTGATTTTAAAACTGCAAAATATATAGCCCCTCTGGGAATGGTTTGGGGGTGCTCTGATGGAAAGTTTTATTTATATTTGTCACTAGAGCAGTATGTTGGACTTAGGTATGGACCTGGAATTCCCTCTCTTTGCCCCAGACGTGTCTTTACTTTCACTAAAGTGTCTAAAGAACATCACCATCGCAGTGTTATTCCCTCTTCAAAAGCAACACAAAGACCACAATGGGCATTTAAAGGAATAGATTTTCCAGATTATTATACCACTGGACAAAAAACATCCCTTTTCCTTGAGAATTTCTTTACCCTTTTTGTCACCTTAAAAAGACACTAATTTATATTAGAAGATATTACCTAGTGATTAAGTGTTTTAAGCAATTGGACACAACATGCATTTGGAGAATTAAACACTCAAGTCCAGGAAACTACTAAAATGACATTGCAAAACAGATTAGCTTTAGATATGTTACTGTTAAAAGAACAAGGTGTTTGTGTAATGTTAAATTTATCAGAAACTGAATGCTGTGTAACAATTTATAATGCTTTAACCTCCATTGAGGAGGCACGAAAAACAATGAGAGAAATAAGTAACCACACTAAAAATTTGTTTTATGCAATACAACCGCAAGAAGTGTTTGATGGATCATGGGTTACTAACATCCTAGTCTTTTGGACTCACTGGATGGGGAAAATGGATAGCACAAATTGGAATAGCAATTGTCATTGGAATTGTGTTCTTAATTATTGGCATTGGTCTAGTTAAATGCATGATAAATCGCTTTTTTGTTTCCTTCTCTACCTCTGTTCGCTATATTCGTATTACCACCACTGAAGAAAACTACATTGATGTGCCCAGAAACAATGTCAAATCATCGGGGTTGAGTGTAACACACAGATAACATAAAAATGCCAAAAATTATGTTTTGCCATTGTTCTGCCCGTCCAAACTTCCTACCAAAAATTCTCTGTCAGCTCTGTGCCAGAAGTTCTCACCAAGACTTCCCACGGGACTTTTCCTGACAAAAGATCCTGCCATTGTTTAAGGTTATCATATCTCCTCAGACAGCTGAACTGGCTACATGTCAAGAAACCACGTACAACCTTCTTTGAACACTATAAAACTCGAGGACAAACTTTGGAAAATCAGGGAAGAGGAAAGGGAGAGAGAACTGGTTGCCTCAGGAGTCTCCCCTTACCTCCCCTCACTTTTTTTCCACCATGGTATGCTACCTACCTGCCATGGGAGACTGAGACTCTGCCGACCTGAAGAGAACTGAGACCGCCATGTTGCATGCATGAGTTATATCTTATCCTTTTAGCCTCACTATGAATGAATGGCCAGTCTCTTCGCGAACGAAGAACCGGGGAAGGTCTTTACACCTTCCAGCCTGCGCATTGGATTTTTTAGGTGAGACACAGTGTGCACGGAACTGAGCCCACCTTTTAATCCTGAGGTTCATCTGCCGGGGCCAAGCACGCTTGGACGGTGGCAGCGAGGTCCTCAGGACGTAGATGGATTGCCTTACAGGGCTAGCGAGCTCCATCTGCCCGGGGAGTGTCCTAACCGGGAATCGAACCCAGATCTCAGCGTTGACAATGCTGTGGTTTAGCCACTGCACCACCAGGGACACTCTAGCCTCACTATATTCCTGAGGGCAAGAGAGCTCCAGCTGAACTGAAACCCTGCACAACCTGGGACACCGCTCCTCTGTGAGCAGTGAAGCCACACTTCCTGCATTCCAGAGAACTACAGCTGTTAGACCCCCTGCAGCTAAAGAGATAACATCAAAAAGTGGCAGAGACAGAGAAAAAAAAAGGCAAAAAACTGTTTCTCTCCCCCCATCCCCCTCCACCGCACCAGCACAACAGAAAGGTAGTTTTCGGTGGTATCTTTTCTCTGCTTCTAAAAAATAATCTTAGCATTTTCCAATCTTTTCCTTTTTTTCCCTCTTTCTCTTTGCATCTCTTAGCAATTAATAAAAATAAGGTTTTGGTATCAACAGATAATTTGTGTGAGTTTTATTTTGCTCAAGGGTATATTCAAATCTGAAGTTCTTTCTGCAATATTTAAAGCAGATTGTAACACCCTCCCACATCAGTGCCTAGTAGGCACTTTCTTGCTTACATACCAATGCTGGAGGTGACCCTACTTAAGCAATGTTTTGTTGATTTTGTGATCCAGTCACATCACCTCAGGTCTTTTGCTCATCACCACTGTCTATCACTCTCTCACAGAGCTGCTGGTAACTCCCTCCCTCCCTGTTCCTAGTTTAAATCCTGCCTTATGAGGTCAGTTATCCAGCGGGCAAAGATACTTTACCCTGCTTAGTGAGGTGGATCCCACCTCTCCCAAGCAGATGTACATCATTAAACAGGGAGACATGGTCATAGAAACCAAAACCCTGTTGCTGACTCTGAATACACAAGGGGTTATTGGTATGCAATATCAGTTCTCACATCCTTTCCCCTCACTGGCAGGATCAAGGAGAACACCACCTAGGCTTCCATACCCCTGATTATCATTCCCAGGGCTCTGTAGTAATTTTTGAGTACATGTTGTCCCTGGCAGTATCATTTGTGCTTGCAAAATAGCAAAAGGGACTTCATGTCCATTGGAAACATGTTGAAGGGATCAGGAGCACAGGTAGTATTCTCTTCTGTCCTCCCAGTTGGAGACTGGGTCACAGGAAGAAGGAGATGAATGGATCGGGGCAATGACTGACTGTGTGGCTGGTGCCATGCTCAGGGCTTTGGGTTCTATGATCTGGGACATGCCTTCATGTGATCATTAGCATGTTGACACTGGATGGGGAGCACCTGATCAGGTGGGGCAAGAGTGTTCTGGAAGCAAGCTGGCTGGACTTATTAGCAGAACTTTAAACTAGATTCAGCAGGGGAAGGGGATGTAATGAGTGACAGAGAGGAACCAGAAACAACACCCTAGGAAGCAGCAGGGAAATACCTGTAAATCATCCCAAAGGGGTTAGGGAGGGCTCCTCCCAAAAGGTGAAGAGGTTGATAGGCCAGTTGAACTGCCTCTACAGCAACGCACATAGCATGGAAAACAAGCAAGAGGAGTTGGAAACCATGGTGCAATTAGAAAGCTATGACCAAATTGCTATCACAGAAACATGGTGGGATGAGTCACGCCTGCAACACGGCAATCGAGGACTACAAGCTTTTCAGAGGAAATAGGCTGGGAAGGAGGAGCAGGGGTGTTGCGCTCTATGTTAAAGAATGGATAGATTGCACAGAGCTGCCTCTGAGAAACAACCACAAACAGGTGAAGAGTTTGTGGGTAAAAATCAAGGACAGGACCAACAAAGAGCACCTTGTGGTTGGGGTCTACTATAGGCTGCCTGATCAGGGGGAGCCTGTTGACGAGACCTTCTTGTTATAGTTACAGGAAGCATTGCACTCACAAACTCTCATCCTGACGGGGGATTTCAACCACCTGGATATCTGCTGGGTAAGCAATACATCTGACTGTAAGCAATCTAGGAGACTCCTGGAGTGTAGAGGAAAACTACCTGGTCCAGGTATTAGACAAACCAACCAGAGGAGATGCATTACTGGACCTGGTACTCATCAATGTGGATGAGCTCATTAGAGAGGTTAAGACTGGAGGCAGCCTGGGCTGTAGTGACCATGCCCTGGTTGAATTCATGATCTCAAGGAGCGTTAGCCTGGTGAGGAGCAAAGTCAGAACCCTGAAATTTGAAAGAGCAAACTTCCAGATGTTTAAGGAGTTGGTGAATGAGATCCCCTGGGAAACTCCTTAGGGACAGAGGGGCTGACCAGAGATGGCAAGACTTTAGGGCCACTTTTCTTAGAACACAAGAACTCTCTATCCCCATGTGTAAGAAATCAAGTAGAGCAGGCCAGAAACCAGCATGGCTGAGCAAGGATTTAATCCTCAGAATGAGGAGTAAGAAGGAAATGCACAGCCAGTGGAAGCAGGGACAGGTGACCTGGGGAGAGTACAGGGATATGGTTTGGATATGTAGGGATGGGATCAGGAAAGCCAAGATACAGATGGGACAGGACTTGGCAAGGGATGTGAAGAATAACAAGAAGGAATTCTATAAATACGTAGGTCAGAATAAAAAGGCCAAGGAGAGCATATACCCCCCTCCCACTAAACGAGAAGGAAGAACTGGTAACAATAGATATGGAGAAGGCTGAGGTACTCAAGATGTTCTTCACCCCAGTCTTCATTGGCAGTCAGACCTCCCACATCTCTCAAGTCCTTAAACCTTGGGGGAGAGAAGTCTCTCCCACTGTAAGTGAAGAGCAGGTTTGGGACCACTTGACCAAACTGAAAAGTCACAAGTCTATGGGGCCTGATGAGATGCATTCCAGGGTCCTGAGGGAACTGGCTGATGTAGTTGCCAAACCAATCTCCATCATATTTGAAAAGTCACAGTGGTCGGGTGAAGTCCCTGGTGGCTGGAAAAAGGGAAACATTGCTCCTGTTTTTAAAAAGGGGAGAAAGGAAGACCCAGAGAACTACAGATTGGTGAACCTCACCTCTGTGCCTGGGAAGATCATGAAACAGATCCTCAGGGAAGCAATGTTAAGGCACATATAGGACAAGGAGGTGATCTGAGACAACCAACACAGTTTCACTAAGGGCAAATTGTACCTGACCAATCAGGCGACCTTCTATGATGGAGTGAATGCAATGGTCAACAAGAGAAGACTGACCAATGTCATCTTTGTAGATTTCTGTAAGGCCTTTGACACAGTCCCATACAACATCCTTATCTCCAAATTGGAGACACATCTGTTTGAAGGGTGACCTATTTGATGCATAAAGAATTGGCTGGATGGACGCAGCCAGAGAGTTGTTCTCAATGTCTCTATGACCAGGTGGAGGCTGGTGATGAATGGTGTCCTTCAGGGCTCTGTCTTGGGACCAGTGCTCTTCAATATCTTTATCATAGACAGTGAGTTTGCAGATGACACGAAGCTGAGCAGTGCAGGTGACACACTAGAAGGATGGGATGCCATCCAGAGGGACCTGGACAAACTTGAGAAGTGGGCCCATGAGAACTTCATGAGGTTCAATAAGTCCAAGTGCAAGGTGCTGCACCTGGGTTGGGGCAATCCCAGACAGGAGTATAGACTGGGAAAACTCATAAAAGCAGCTCTGTGGAGAAGGACTTGAGGGTTCTGGTGGATGAAAAGTTGAAGAATATGAACCAACACTGTGCACTTGCAACCCAGAAGGCCAACTGCATCCTGGGCTGTGTCAAAAGAGGCATGGCCAGCAGGTCAAGGGAGGTAATTTTTCTCTACTCTGACCTTGTGAGACCTCATATGGAGTACTGCATCCAGTTCTGGTGCCCTCAGCACAAGAAAGACGTGGACCTGTAGTATCTGGTATACCTGACATATCCCTCCTAGTATCTGGTTTTCAGAGGACACACCATTTCTACCCCAGTAGATGGAGGTCAAAGATCCCCACTCATTCCAGCAGGTGATGCTGAGACCCTACTCACTGCAGTAGCTGACACCACATATAGGAGATGCCTACACCCCTGATCTGACTCCAGTGGCTGATCCCAAGTCCAATCATGCCAGTGTCCCCAGTAGCTGACATTCTAGGTGCAAAGGCTCCAAGACCTTCCCTAGATCCACAGGGCTATGGCCCCTACAACTAGGACCCCTGTTTGCTTCAACACCTCACACCACATGTAGGGGGCATCTAAACCCCTGGTCTGACTCAGACACACAGATCTCACCAGTAGCTGCCACTTATCCTTGCAGCACATATACATATGAGATAAAGACTGAAATCATGCAGACAGATAGTTAAGAATAGGATAGAATAAGACAGGGTAGACTATGAGGATCAGGCAAAAGGTTCAACTAGACAAGCTGATCAGCCAGATTTTGCATGCTTTACATGCTCCTTTTACATGTTTTTCCTTCTATCCCTCCTCTTTGTTCCTCCCTGCTCCCTTTCCCCTGCACATACCCCTCATATGTTTGTACAGCTCTGTGGTGGGCTACCAGGTCCTCACCTATCTGCTCTCTCATCCTCCCTCCTCAGCAGGACAGCAGGGAGAAAATACGATGAAGCTCATGAGTTCAGATAGGGACAGCAAGATCATTCACAATTACCATCATGAACAAAACAGGCTCATCTTGGGGAAGATTAAGTTAATTTACTGCCAGTTAAAAATAGAATAGGATAGTGAGAAATAAAACCAGAACTAAATCCACATTTTTAACTTTTCTTCTATCTCCTCCCCTACCACTGAGCAGTGAAAGGGAGATGGGGAATGGGGATTGGGGTCAGTTCATAAAGCTTCATCTCTACCACTCCTTCCTCCTCACACTTTTCCCTCAACTCCAATGTGGGGTCCCTCCCACAGTCTGCAGTCCTTCAGAAACAGACTGCTTCAGCATGGGTCTCCCACGGGTCCTACTAAAAAACTTTCTTCTACATGGGCTCCTCTCCACAGGTTGCAGTTCCTGTCAGGAGCCTATTTCAGCACAGGCTCTCCACAGGGTCACAGTTTCCTCTGGGGCACATCCACCTGCTCCAGTGTGGAGTCCTCCGAGGGGACAACCTGTGTCACTACTGTCTTCACCACAGGTTACAGGGGAATCTTCTCCCCCTCCTTCTTCCCTGACCTTTGTATCTGCAGGATTGCTGCCCTCACATCTTCTCACTCCTCTCAGCTGCTGTTGCACAGCATTTTTTTAACCTTTCTTAAATATGTTATGACAGAGGCACTGCCAACATTGATGATTGGCTCAGCTTTCGCAAGCAGATCTTGGATCTGGCTGGAACTGGCTCTATCAAACATAGGAGCAGCTCCTGACCTCTTCTCACAGGAACCACCCTGCAACCCCTCCCCCCACTACCAAAATCTTGCCAAATAAACAGCTCTATAAATTCCTGAACTCCTTCAAGTTCCCCCCATGATTTACAGTCTTATCAGTTGCAAAGCTGATCCTTCTGGAAGTGGCACCTGTAGTTTCCTGATAACCCATCAGTGTGACTGGCAAGGTTTGTTTCTTACCATTGCCCCCATGTTTGTTTTGTCTGGTCTGTCTTGTATATCACTCCTTTTTCCCAATTTAGTTTCCAACTGACAAGGTCCCAAATCAGATAACCTTGCTGGAAAAAACATTCTCACGCTGTCATATCCTGCTCACCAGTTCTTGTACCTGAACAAATTTGGTTCTCATCACTGCTTCCCTTATCATTTGTCAGTTAGGTTAGTGTCTGTGGTTTGCTGACCTTGGCTGTATTCCAGGTGCCTACCCAGCCTCTCTATCACTCCCCTTCCCAGATGGACAGAGGAGAATAAGGTGGAAAAACAACTCATGTGTTGGGATAAGGCAGTTTATTTAAAGCAAAAGCAAAGAGGAAGCTTGCACATGCAAAAGTGAAAGATAACATGGTTTATTCTCTACTTCCCATCTACTTCTCAGCAGGCAATCATTGGAGACAATGAATGCCTGCCTTCCTGCTTGTCTCAGTTTAATGAGACTCAAGTGTGTTACTGAGGATGAATTATGAGGAAGACTCAAACTCATCCCTCTAAGCAATTGTAAATCCGAAATTAGGAGGCTCCAACTGAGAAAAGTGTAGAAAAAAGGAAAAATAACAGCCCTTTATTAAAAGATATATGTGTATTGGCAGAGCAATGAAAGAACACAAATAAAACAACAAAAAAATAATCCTATACCCAAAAATAATCCCCTTCAAAAGAAAAGGTAAACAGTCCAGTTTGTGCCCTTTGGCGCAATTCTGACCACAGTCAGCAGGGGGCACCGTTGCATTACTGAAGATGCAGGGACTGCAGTAGTCTGTGCCAACCAGCAGGGGATGCTGTTGGATCACTGGTGGTAACCATGTAGGGTGTGTTGGAGAAGACTAAAATGGAGGTCTTCCCTCCCCCTCACCGTGAAAGGGGAAAAAGGAGGGAAAGAAAGAAAAGTTCTTCCCAGTGGGAACTCTCTGTCTGTGGGTGGAACGTGTGGTGTGGCTTCCCCTCTCCTTTGATGTGCACAAGAATTGCTGTCAAACAAAAAAACAGGAATGGAGGAGGGGAAGAAGGTGACCTCCTTCCCAAACAGTTCCTCTCCTATGAAAATCCAATCACATTCTGGGCTGGGTAGAAAACAGGGTGCAGGCGAACCGAAGGCAGGAGAGAAAAAAAAAAACACAAAACAAAACCAAAACCTACTAGGTGACCAGACTGAGAACAAAACCACCTCGGAACTCCTGCCACCCAGACCTTGTCCCAGCAATGAACTCCGTGCTGTTTCCCAGGAGAGGAGAAAAAAAGTAAAGATAACTCCTCACCCCTCCCCACAAACTCTTGAGGGTCATCAACTTCGAATGTGGCTCTACCAACCACTTGTTTTGTGTTAGTCCATTGCCTGAGCCACAGCCAACCTGCCCATTCAACATCCCTTTTACATAGTGGGCAGGGACCTACTTGTGTTTGGGTCAGCTGACCTACTTGTGTCCCCTCCCAGAATCTTGTCCTGGGTTGAGAAAGAAATGTTACAGTGCTGATGCTGTGCTCAACCGTAGACAAAACACTGGTGTGTTCTCAACATCATTCTAGCTTCCAATGTAAAGAACAGCACTGTGAGGGCTGCTATGGGGAAACGAACTCCAATTCAGCCAGAACCAATACAGTGTCCCAGTATGTTCTTG